AAGAAAATTCTGAAATTCAACCAAGGGAGAGTAAACGAGCTAGAGTTGAAAAAGATTTTGGCCCTGACTATTATCTTTACAATACGGAAGAAATTTCTCTTACGGTTTAAGAAACTTTATCATCACTTGATGCTATTTTCTAGAGAGAGGTTGTAAATGATGAGATAGATTCACTACTTTCAAATAAAACATGGAAGTTAGTGGATTTACCTCCAGGTTGTAAAACTATTGGGTGTAAATGGGTCCTTCGTAAAAAAACTTAAACCAGATGGAATTATAGATAAATATAAAGTGAGGCTTGTCGCTAAAGGTTTTAAGCAACAAGTTGATCTTGATTTCTCTGATGCTTTTCTTCCGGTTACTAGAGTTACATCCATTAGACTGTTGATAGTTGTGGCTACAATTCATAATTTAAAAATTCATCAAATGGATTTTTAAATGGAGATCTAGATGAGGAGATTTGCATGGACCAACCCGAAGGCTTTGTGGAGCCTGACTAAGAAAGCAAGGTGTGTAAGCTAACTAAATCCCTTTATGGTGGCATGAGAAATTTGATTCCTGCATGCTTGAGAATGGTTATAAGACTAATGAATGTGATAAGTGTATATATTATAAAACTTGTGAGAATGCCCATGTGATTATTTGCCTATATGTAGATGATCTACTTATCTTTGACTCTAATTTGCATATTATAAACGAGACTAAAAATATGCTTAATAGCCACTTTGATATGAAAGATCTTAGTGAAGCCAATTTTATTTTGGGAATTAAAATTACCAAGACAGTAATTCGTTATGTTTTTCAACACTTTTATGAGGTCTTCTGGTAATTTTTGTTTTATTGCAAACTTTACATTTCTCAAAAAATTTTGTCACTTTAGGAATTAATTCTAAACTACTCATGATTCTCACATATTTACTGTTAATATGACTTAAGCAAGCATGTCAAAAATTAATAAAAGACAAAGTGTAAGTGGTGTCATAGTAATAATCATAAAATTAATCAGTAAGGAAATTTAAGAGATAAAAATGACATTTATACTTATCTGTATTGTAGGAAGTCACTTTTGCTTCATGTGTCTCGTAGTCTTCACCATCCATCTCCTCGGTTGGGATTTTATTTGGGTTCTTCTCGGTAAGAACATATGTAACTTTCAAAAGGTTGAGGTAAAAAAGAACTTTTCCTTTCCACATCTTAAAATGAACTCTCTTGAACTTAAAAGGCTTGTTGAGATCTCCAATTCCATCATTGGTTTTTTTTGGTACTTGTTTCATGGTTGATCTCCTTAAAATTGTTGGTAAAAATACCAGAAGAATTATATTTTATTGATAAATAATGCAAAGAAAATGAGATACAAATAGATCAGGCTGAGGCACGGATATCTCGTTTTGTTTAAGGAGATCAAGCCCACTGCGGTAGGAAGAACTCAAATACCGATGCAGTAGTCACAAAACTATGACTTGTCCCCTCCAGGATACAACAGTCCGACCACTTGTCGTATGGTTCAGGCCAACTCTGCACAAGATGGTGAATCCAAAGCTCCACCAAGAAAAAACACCCTTCTTTGGCTAATAATCTCTCAAGTATAAAAAATAGTTGGTGTGTTGGTGTAAAAAAGAGTAGATGAGAGGAACTATTTATAGGCCACTAGGACTTTACAAAAATACACTAAAAAATAATAATGACCATGAACCTAGAGAAAAGGGAGAGTCACCAAAAAATTAACTCACCACCAAGTCCATGAACCTAATTAATCTCCATTCATGAATAAGACAAAAGGTCACCAAAATAATGAATCTCCATTCATGAACAAGATGAGATTCATGAACAAGACAAAAGAAATTTTATGAACAAAATATATATATATAAATAAAAGATATTAAAATGGTCCAACAGAATTACATATTGATAATTTTAAATAATTTTTTGAGTTTGTAATAGTAGTATTTACTAGTTTTTACAATGACAACACCCACAATTTTGCTCCCATTTCATTATCTCAAGTGGTTTGATATCCAAGAGAGATAGAGAGGATGTTGGATGGAGATGCGCCAGAGAATAGAAGTGTATTGCATACTATGAGCATTTGTCAGAGTTTAATGAATTTTTTTTTTTAACTGTTTTTCTATTTCTTGGAAAAATACAATATATTTGGACTGGATGGTCTAATTTAGGTCATTATGAGTTTATCTTAAGTCTATTATGGCTCAATTTTTAATATCTCTTATGTAGATCATTTATTAAAAAAAAAGAAAAAAAGAAAAATCTCAAATTGATCTGATAGAAGTACTATATATTTGATTACATTTAAGTGTTTGTTTGGCATGCATTAAAAAAGTACATTTTTTTTCATATATATACTTATTTGAGTCATATCAATCAACATATCCTCTCTATTTTTCTACCCACTTTCTGTACTTTTCTATAATTTTTTTTTTTTATAAAAATCAAAAAATACATTTATTTAGAACATGCCAAACATCTCCAATCAACTTAATTTTGTTCATAGCACTGCTGGAAATTGGACTTTTAGTGGCGTTTAAAAAACACCGCTATATCAATCAAAAACGCCGCGAATTCATTTTGTGGCGTTTAGTACCAAACGTCGAAGATGCGACCGTCGCTGTAGCTTTGTGACGTTTTAAAAACGTCATGATAGTAGTATAGGAGGCGTTTTAAAGAACGCCGCAAAATGTCCTCATATAAACACGCTGACGTCACCGACGATATGTAGCGACGTTTTGAAAACGCCGTCGTATATTTAGGAGGCGTTTGTCGAAACACTGTCATATCCTTTTTTTTTGTGTAATTGTGTTAATTTTATTTGATTAAGTTAAAAAAATACCTGTAATAAAACGAACATACAAAATATTAACTCCCATTCAAATACCTGTAATAAAACTAACATATAAAATAATAACTCCCATTCAAATAACAAATGAAGCATTAATTTAGTTTCTCATTCAATTAATATCCAATCACCATTACCCACAAAATAGCATATCCAAATCCAAAAATCTTGTTTTAACATTGATCACAAACTAACATATACCCAAAAATCATGTTTTAGCATATATAGAAGCTGTAGTCATCACTGGTCTACATGCCTGCATTAGAACATAAACTACAACCAGATTCACCAAAATAAACACAAATTGAGAAAAAAAAAAAAAATCAATGCAAAAATTTTGAGACCAGTGAAATCATATATACAAATGATTACATGTCATTACTACCAAAATGATTACCACTCGCCGCAGCCAAAGGATTCAGCCCAAAAAAGAAAAGAAAAGAAAAGAAAAAAACTGAAACATCATAAGTCATTGACATTCAACGATATTCTCATTTTTAGTTGTTCCAACTTCCAACTTCCAACTTCAACTTGGGTTCCACCAAATGCAAAGCAACTGCCATGAAGTAGTTAATTAAGGTTGGTAAGTTTGATCAATAGAACTATGTATCTTTGTAGATTGGAATTCTAATGCAATCATGACACCCATAAATTGGCAGTTTTATTGAACATATGACACAAGTACTGTTTCTACTGAAAGTACTTACCCAGTTATATTGCTTCTCCACCAACACTATTTTACAAATACTACGAGCACATGAAAGCATCATCACTAAATTTCCATCACCACCACCGCTACCATCACCACCAAGAGCATTCAATCTCTTAGAGCATTTTTTATCTGCCTTCCAATGTTATAAAGCAGTTGTTTTTGAAGCAGAACAAACTCGTATATATAGACCAGCCCATGAATCATGAGACTTGGATCATAGAACACAAAATGCTTAACAACTTATTCATGCTGTCGAATATAACATACGAATACCGAAAGGTATCTATTTTAAATTCATAGGTGTAGACACCCCATTGTGTGAAGATTATTATTTAAATTAACAATTGAGAGCCATGTGCAATAATTTGAGCTCAGTGCAAAACACAAGTGCCTTTAAACAAGTGCCACCATACATGCCTTAATTATAAATGTTTAATATAAATTGTGAATATATATATTATATATAGATGTACTACATGGACAAGGCTAAATATACTAGTATTCTCTTCATGAATCCACAGGGATAGATAGATACATTGATAGATATAAACACACACACAGAAATGCATTCAAGAATATGAATATTGCCCAAAGTAAAGAAGAAAAAATTACCACTGCCAGGAACAAACTCCTTCATAGTAATAGTGCATAACCCAACACAGGCCTTCTGTGTACTTCAAAACCTATGCGGTAGAAATTGAAGCTTTTATTAGCCCACTATTACTTCAAATGTAACTTTGGCATGCTTCAAATATAAGATTTAGAAAACAAGCTGCACAATCATACAAAAGAAAATCTGCATCACAAATCAAAATCCCTCGTACAGATGTTATCACTAGCCTCTGCCACTGTCAAAGTCGAGTTTTGTGGGGGAAGATGACTATATTTACTAGGGGAGAACATGCTTATATTGGTGGATATCCATACATGATACAATTTCCATGCTCAAAAATTAGTTCATGTATGAAATATTATTTCATGATTCAGCTTGAAATACATTTATTTGGTACCTCCAGACTAATTCCAGCAATTGGAGAGATCCCTTCAGTTGAAAGAAATGAAACATGAAGGGAACTAGATAAATGTTCCCTTCTCAAGGGGCATGAATATTTAATAAAGAAACCATGCTACTCTCCAATCACATCAACAAGGAAGACAATTGCTCAGACATCAGAATGTGGAGGCATCAATGGTGATGGCGATGAAGTGGAAGTAAAGAAGGCTGCGGAAGTGACAGTGGCACCTGAAAAGTGGTGATAGCAATTCAGGTATATACACACTTGAGTTAGGTATGAGATCTTCAAATTTCACTCAACTAGGATAGATGATAGAATGAGATATGCAATTCATTGTCTTGTACCTAGAAGCAATCCTCCTTAACAGAGTTACAGAATAAAAATTAGACAACTCATTCTCCAAGAATGCGTCATACTGCACTTCCTAACTTATTTTAACTTGCAAAAAATGCAATATTGACCAAAATCAAATGAACATAAACCATGAACTAGTGATATTAGTACTTTTACCTTGTTAGTTCTTCTTCTTCTTCTTCTTCTTCTTCTTCTTATTCTTCTTCTCTTTCTTTGAAAGGTGAATCTATATTTAATAAGAGTAAGTATTGTAATTAATAAGATATGTTATTTGTCAAAAAAGCTTTGAATAAATGATTGCTCACCTCTTGGGATGAAAATGCATGAGATTGTTGTTGATGTGACATTGGCCGAACAGTGGGATGACTACTAAGTGAATCCATAACCTATCATTCAATAAGAAGCTTAAGTTTAATATTAGCTCTAGGCAATTTAAAGTAATAACTAGTAAAAATAATTAAAATACCTACTGCCTATGTAATGGGTTTGATGGTGCAACAACTGGATCAACGGGCACGCCTGCAGCTTGCAATTGAGATTCCAAAGACTGAATTCGTGACTGAAAATCTGTGCGTATAGCCTGAATTTGTTTCTCCACTACTTCATTCATCTTCGACTCAAACTGTATTTGATACCGTTGAAGTTGCTCTTGAACTTGAGTTTGAAAGAGACGATTCTGCTCTTGTGACCGCTTATATCCACATCCAAAAACATCAGTGGGTGACGGTCCCAATCCAAACGTCCAAACACGGCCAGATTGCTCTGGGCCTATAACTTGTGTGAAGATTTGCTCCTGTAATGCTGCAGGGTCAGTAGAAGATCCCTCAATGTGCTCTGTTAACTCATTTATTTGAGTTTGCAAGTTTGAATTCAATAATTAGCCTCCAATATAAATATAAATCAAATTAAAAGTGCAAAGATAAAGTAGTATCACATACCATAACCTCATTAACTGAATAACTATTTGACGTCCCATCTTTCATGTATGCGGCCATCCACACCTGTGACTGACTAGCAGGAACCCCATTGTTCTTTTTTGTCTCCTATAAATGAAAGACAACTAAAATCTTAAGATAAATAAGAACCAAAGTTTCCATTTAATACTTTGAATGTCTTAGTTTTTAATGCATTATGTCATATTTCTTCACTACATAAAATGAAGAAGAATCTACAATACATAAGATAAAACTGTCCTAAATACACTGATCACAGCTCAGATATCATGTAACAGACTGAAATGGAATGCTACACTGAATTCAATCAAACATACCTTTGGGATGAATCGGTAGGGTTACAGAAAATGCAAGAGCTCAATGTGTCAATGAGTGCACATGTTTGTGGTACAATATTTTGACCAGTGACAAAAAAGAAGTACCAAAGCAAAGCAAATAACCTAGATAGGAGCCAGACCTAACACAAACCAAAAACCAAACTACCAACCATCTCTACAGATCAGCAGCAACCAACCATAGCAATAGTAGCCACCAATTAGGAGAGCAGAACCATAGAGCAAAACACAAAACAATCACAATCAAGAAAACTAAACAGAGAAATAAAAGACAACTGCAGCACACCAAGAGCAAAACAGGTTTTAATTCTATCAAGAGTACTCCTTTTCACCCAGACCAGCAGCACACCAGATTCTTGCAGATTATCTACCAAGATCATAACATAATACTACTGTTGTTCATTCTCTCACACATATCATCCTACACACAGCAATACAAATTTCAGAGGCTGCAGAAATAAGAAAAGTAGAGAGAGAGAGAGATTATTCCCAGATCCAAAATTAATTGGTTTCAAAGTCACCAGTATGCCTAGTTCAAAAAAAAAAAAAAAAAAGAAGTCACTAGTAAGCTTTCAATCACCCTTTCAAAATCTTTCTCCCTCCATTTTTGGATGTGATAAAAAATTAACAAACTTTGAGACAGTGTAAGCAAACTTTGAAAGAATAATTATACCTCCAGTCGAACTATTGAGAAAGGCTTTCGGCCTGTTCTATGATGTAATGTCTTCTTCTTCCGAATTTTTCTATTCTTCTTGCTTGATTTCTGTCAAATATGAAATTTATTTAAGATGTTATAAAAAATTATCATATATAAACATTTTTTCACATAAATAAAATTTTACCGATGCATTCTGAGTGCCCCAATAGTAGACCAAAGCCCACCACTGATCCTCATGTACTTTATCTGGTCGATGAGCCAACCATTCTGTATCATTCTTGAAGGGTTTGTATCCCATTGTTTTCACTCGACTTTTCCAATCTCTCAATTTCTTTCCAAATGAAGCCATTACTGTTCTCTTCATGGATTCATCTGCATCCGTATGTGCCTGCATTACAATTATATACACTTGAAATATGTAATGTCAACTACACTTGTAATATGCATTTCATATGGAATACAATTGTAACTTATTTCATATTAAATATCCATATATACCTTTATCTCCCTCCATATGTTATCTTTGTTTTGTTTTGGAACATAATGCCAAGTGGTAAAAGTGAGTGGTGCAAGACTCCCATCTCGTGCCAAAATGCCCAAATGTGAAGCAAGGGATATGTGTCCTTCAACTACTTGATTCAACTCATTTGGAACAACTTTTAAAATGCCATCTTCACTAGTACCCCATTGACCATGCACATATGTGGGACCTTTTGTCTGCTTTTGTTTGGCTTGACTTGAGCTAGGACCTACAAAACACAGATACATGGCATGCCACAATCAGTAAATGTTTACCATTGCTAGTGAGTTAGAAATCACGCTGCAGCGTGTGTCAAAGAAGGCATATTATCAGCACACCTGAGTTAAAGAATGGTTGCCGTTAGGACCCATTAAAATGAGCCTCTGCAAGAAGAGTCTGGCAACAGTGATTGCTATTGAAAGAATGGTTGTAGTTAGGGCCCTACCAAATTTTGAGTGTAATATGTGTGAAATGTGTTTGATTTGGAATTTTAAACTTTTTTAAGGTTTTGCTATTGTGAGTGTATTTTTTTTTTTTTTGAACATGATATAAATAGAACTGGACTCACAAGAAACCAACAAACTGTTATGCACAAATTTAAAAAAAATATGGCTTCTAAGGCCTTGTGTCTTCCTTTACCAATATGCTTGGTCATTTTTGAATTAGAAGTACCATTAAATAAAAAGAGCAAAAATGGGGATTGTTTATCCTCCTATGTTTTGCTGCTAGAATAGTAATGGTGGGGTCAAGAATAGTCTAGGCTAATAAGGGGAGTAAATGGCAGGATAATAAATGTAAGTGATTTCATGTTTTTTCTAGCTTCTTTTGGGTGTTTGTGTTTTTTTATTTTTTGTTCTTTAGATTGTGTCCATGTTCTGACTTTGTTAATTTGCAGTGTTTTCCCCATAATCTAAAATGTCCAGTGGAATGAATGTAGGATAGAGATCCTTCTACTTTGTTCATGCTGAACAGATGCATAGGTTTAACTGATAGTGGAAAAGGTCTCTCTACCAAGAACTTGAACCTGAACCTAGTCAAACTCCACAATAAGACTAGCATAAAAATCACGCACACGCTATTTATCAGCTAACTTATGTAACTTGGCAGCATCGGATGGGCAATTAGTGTGGAAATCCTGATAATAATCCAACTCCTACTAAAGACTATTGTGCTCTGCATAATATAGGGTTACTGTCAAGAAGTAAAAAAAAAACAAAAACAAAAAGTAAAAAATGTCATCTTATCGTTCTTGTCGTTTGGGTGTCTAGAATATTCCTTGTAAATATTCTTTAACTTGTGTGATATATATACCAGATGTTATATTGACAGATAGCCAATATTTATCAATATATATATTGACAGATAGCCAATATGAAGAGCTGTAATAAGTTTTGAACTTGCCTTCTCCAAGTACGAAATTTAGAAGGTTCATATTTTGGAGCTTGCAGCTGTCTAAAGATTTTTTTTTTTATTTGTCGGTTTCTATTGTTGCCAATTATGGTTTTCAAGTTTATTTTTTCGCTCTAGCTAGAATGTTTTCACATAGTATCTTCTGATATATAAAAATGTCTACTGTTTATTCTTGAAATGTCAGCATATGCATAGATTGAAGTGCTTTGTGTTAAAATTAGTGGAGTCTTTCCAGCAGCAGCTTGAATGCTTCCTCCAAGCAAGATGGTTTATTGGAGATTTAGACATACATATCCTGACCCTCTCCCCCCCTTTCTTTTTTCTTTTTTTTTAATTTCTTCTTGTTTTTGTTCTCTCTCCCACTCTCTCACTTTAATCTTTACTATCTTTCTATTGCATGTTAATCATTCAATGCCTTTTTTCAATTGGAGTTGGATTTCCGCCCATAATCAGGAGTGGAGGGTACTATCCGTAAAATGCTTCATTTTTATTTTTTTGTGTATGTGTGTGTGTATATCATCTCTAAAATAATATTAGAACAATTTTTAATAAATTAACATAATTAACATAATAATATAAGCTTGATAAACAAGTGTTCCCCATATAATTCTACAAACCACAAATACACCTAATCGATCCTCATCTAAATCTAGTTGCTTATGCTTGAAGAACAAAGGAGATCTGATCTTTTGATAAACACAAATTGAATAATAAAAAAAAAAAAAAAACCGAAATTCAAGTCAAAATAAAACGCCTCAAAATAAAGAGAGGGGGGAGAGAGAGAGTACCTCACCGATCTGAATATGTGAATCTCTGAATTCAAGTCGAAATTCAAGTCAAAAATTCTGTTTCACTGAGACCGAGTTGAATTTGTGAATCTCTGAATCACAGAGCTGAACTGACAGAGATAACTAGGGTTTAGACAGCACACAGAGAGAGAGAGAGAGAGAGAGAGAGAGGGGGGAGAGAGAGAGTACCTCACCGATCTGAATCGATTCATCGATCTGAATCGATTTTGAGAGAGAACTTTGAAATGCCTTTGACTTCGATTTTGAAAGATCTTAGACAGTGCAGAGAGGGCGAGAGAGAGAGAGAGAGAGCGCGAAAGTGAGAGTGAGAGCGCGAGAGTGAGATTTTCGCTTATACTTGCTTTAGCAGAGTCAAAATAAAGGTGAAACAGGAAAGGAGGAGGGTGTTGGGAAAAAACCATTCCAAGGCGTTTAAAAACGTCTTTGATTCTTGAAACGGCGCCGTTTTAATTACAGAAAAATAAGACGTTTATAAAACGCCGTTGAATATTAGAAACAATGGCGTTTTAGAAAACGTCGTTAAAAAAACGCCACCTAACCCCATATTTCTTGTAGTGTAGATGATGTGTTTGGAAAATATTAAAAATTGAACGGTTTGGATCGGCAAAGTGGCCTATAATGCTTTGTTAATCCAATGGAAGACAATGACATGTCTCTGACGTGAGGGTGTTGGTGAAATGCGATAGCAACGCTCTCTCATGCTATCTCCAATATGTGTTGATAATTTGATCTATCTACTACTACTTCCTGAAATTCATTACCAAAAGTTGCAACTATTAGTAGGAATATCGACATTGTATTCGATCAATGTGATTTTTTACAAAGATGAAATACTTGACAAACTCTACACATTGAATGATATGGATCATCAAAATGAGACCTATGGTGGGCTCACGGACCCAATAACACAGTTTTGTTCACAAGGTGGACTAGTGAGAAACCCTTCTCTTAAATCAAGTAATCGG